CGAAGGACACGATAGTGGCCCGTTGCTCCTGCACGATCCCCAACCTTTTCTTCAGCTCCTCCTGCACTGCCGCGAATCGCACCTCCACGCCGACGCGGGCCGGCAAGACGCCGTGGATGTCCCCCGCGTCGTGCACGTTCGGGACGTTCAGGAGGCGCCGACCCGGGTCGGGATCGCCCTGAATTCCGCTGCACTCGTCAACGCCCTGCAAGAAAACGAGGGGCACGCCCAGGCGCCGCGCGTCGCGACGAGCGCGCGCGTTGATCCACCTCGCCAGCGTCGTCCTCCAGGCGCTCGCTCACGTCCGCGAGGAGGCCGATGCTGCCAGTGGGCTTTAGTTGCAGGAAATCGCCGAAGTGCAGCGCGATGGGGACGCGCCCGAAGTGGCGGCGCGGCCGCTTGTAGGGGGACTCCTGCACGTCGCGCGTGTCACCGCGTCCATGGCAGGCGCGGAGGTCCAGCGCGTTGCACAGAGCTGCCGCCACCATGCTCACCTCCCCGATGACCAGAACGCGGACGTGCTCCCACAGCCACTTCAACATCTTCTGCATGCCCCCCGGCCTCATCTTCGCGTGGATGTACTTCTGGACTCGCAGGGCACAAGCGTTGTGCAGCGCCCTAGCCTTCATAGTCTCCGTGGAGATATTCTTCGCCTGGGCGTTCGAGAAGGCCACGACCATCACGGCGCCCTTGTCCTGCGCCTTCGAGGGCCACAAATACTCCACCACTGGGAAGACGACCTTCTGCACCACGCTCGTCTTCCCCGAGCCGCCGTGGCCCAGGAGGAGCAAGTGCGTCATTTTTCGTTCGCTCCAGGGCATTTTCTGCACGTCGTCCTCCCAGGCTTCGTCGCCGGCCTTGGCGACCTTGGCGACGAAAAGCGTCTGGTCCCGCGTGAGTCCCTGGGCCTCGAGCGATTCAGCGACCATGTGGGCGATGTACGCGCTGGGCGTGGCGCACACGCTGCCGTCGAAGCTGGCCGCAGCGGGAGCCCCGCCCAGGCCGCCAGTGTCCTCGTCCGCGCCGTCGTCGGCGCCCGCGTCATGGCCGAGGATGGGTAACCACCCCCGATTCGGCCGAGGATGGGTTACCATCCCCAGCCCGGACGCAAGGGGCTACCCCTGCGCCCGATTCGGCCGCCGATGGATTACCACCGCCGGCCCGGAGACAAAGGATTACCCCTGCCCCCGATTCGGCCGAGGATGGGTTACCACCCCCGGCCTGGACGCTTCCCCCGTGCGCCCGATTCGGCCGACGATGGGTCACCACCGCCAGCCCAGAGACAACGGGTTACCCCAGCCCCCGATTCGGCCGACGATGGGTGACCACCGCCAGCCCAGACACAACGGGCTACCCCTGCCCCCGACTCGGCCGACGATGGGTTACCACCGCCAGCCCGGAGACAACGGGTTACCCCTGCCCCCGATTCGGCCGAGGATGGCTTCCCCCCCCCAGCCCGCACGCAAAGGGCTACCCCTGCGCCCGATTCGGCCGCCGATGGGTTACCACCGGCAGCCCGGAGACAAGGGGTTACCCCTGCCCCCGATTCGGCCGAGGATGGGTTACCACCCCCGGCCCGGACACAAAGGGTTACCCCTGCGCCCGGCCGCTATCTCGTCGTCGTCGTCGTCAGCAGCAGCACCTCAGCAGCCCAAACGGGACCCGTCATGGCAGAGAGTCGCCGCGCAGGGCGCTGGAGGCTTAAGTTTTGGCTCAAAAGGTGGGAGCCATAGGGAGGGAGCTCCCGCCTGAGTTTCCTTAGAATTCAATCACAGACGAAGTTCCCGCTTGATGCTCCCCCCAAATTGAAGCCTGAGAAGCCCAATCATGACGACAGATACCCGTTTCGGATGACCCGCTCGGATTACCAACATGAAGTGCGGGGCCCATAGGAAACGGACTCCTGCCTGAAACTTCCTCACAATTCACTCGCAGACGAGGTTCCCGCTTGATACTTCGCCCAAATTCAAGCCTGAGAAGCCCAAAAGTGACGACAGCTGCACGTTTCGGATGACACGCTCGGATTACCAACATGAAGCGCGGGTCCCATAGGGAGGGGGTTCCCGCCTGAGACTTCCTCACAACTCACTCACAGACGAGGCTCCCGCTTAATACTTCCCCCAAATTCAAACTTGGGAACCCCAGAAGTGACGACAATTACAAGTTTCGGATGACCCGCTCGGATTACCAACATGAAGTGCGGGTCCCATAGGAAGGGGGCTCCCGCCTGAGACTTCCTCGCAAGTCACTCACAGACGCAGCTCCCGCTTGATACTTCCTCCAAATTCAAGCCTCAGGAGCCCAAAAGTGACGACAGTTACACGTTTCGGATGACCCGCTCGGATTACCAACATGAAGTGCGGGACCCATAGAGAGGGGGCTCCTGCCTGAGACTTCCTCACAATTTACTCACAGACGAAGTTCCCGCTTGAGACTTCATCCACATTCAAACTAGGGGGTGAGTGATGACGAAGTGATGAGTGAGTGAGTGAGTGAGTGAGTGAGTGGGTGAATGAGTGAGTGAGTGAGTAATGATGATGATGAGTGGGTAGGTGATCGAGTGATGATGATGGTGACGATGATGAGGATGATAAACGACGATGATGATGAGTGGTGATGATGATTGCTGGTGATGGTGGTAATGACGATGAATGTGGTAATGGTGATGATTGATAGAATGATGATGATGTTGCTGATGATGAGGATGATAATGGTGTGAGTGCGAATGAGCGTGATGATTCTGATGATGGTGACGGTGATGAGGATGCTGAGGAGTAGTGACGATGAGTGGTGGTGATGATGACACTGATGATGGTGAGTGAAAGGGAGAAGGGTGGGAGGTGAGGTGAGGTGAGGTTCCTGCGCGAGGTGTCCAGAGAAAACAAGAACCCAACTTTGGATGTGGGGAAAACATACAAAAACACAGGGCTTAGCAACACTGATTTGCTAAAAAAATGCGCGCGAGCTCTTGCGAAATCTAAGGAAACCATAGGTTTTTCAAGATTTTCACAAAATGCTACCAAACGGGCTTCGCGCGCGCGCATGTCGAAATCTGTCGAACGCCCTTGCGCGTGTGTCGTCGCAAGAATTCTCTGCAAAAAACGAGACGAAAGGCAGACGCGCGCGTCGTCGCGCGCGTATGACGGAATCCTTCAAAACCCATCGGTTTCGGAAGGATTTCTAAATCGTGTGTCCAAAAAACCTACAAGGCTTCGCAACACGGACTTTCAACAAAAGCGTGCGCGCGCGCTGTTGCGTCGTCGTCGTCGTCGTCGTCGCCGTCCTCCCTCCTCCCGCGTCGTCGTCGTCGTCGCCTACGTCGTCCTCTGTCTTTCCTCGTGTTCGTCGTCGTCGTCCTCTTTGGCGTCGTGGTCGTTTCCGTCATCGTTGTCGCCGTGGTCGTCCTTCCTCCTCCCTCGTCGTTGTCGTCGTTGTCGTCGTTGTCGCCGTCGTCGTCCTCCCTCCTCCCTCGTCGTCATCGTCGTCGTCCGTCGTCGGCGTCTCGTCGTCGTCCCTCCTACTTCGTCGCCGTCGTCGTCGTCGTCGTCGTTGTCGTCGTCGTCGTCTTCCCTCCTCCCTCGCCGTTGTCGTCGTCGGCGTCGCCGTCCTTCCTCCATCTTCGTCATTCGCGTCGTCGCCGTCCTCCCTCCTCCCTCGTCGTTGTCGTCGTCGGTGGTGCCGTCGTCGTCGTCGTCGTTGTCGGCGTCGTCGAAGTCGTTGGAGACGTCGTCGGTGTCGTCGTAGTCGTTTTCGGCGGCGTCGTCGTCGTCGTTGTCGCTGTCGTCGTCGGCGTCGCTGTCGTTGCCAAGTGCCATTTGGTACCCACCGTCACGGTCTTTAGAGATTTTGCAAGCCAAGTTGCGGGTGGGTGGGTGGGATGATTGCGCGAGCAGTAGAGTTGCCAACTTCAAGTTCGGCAAGTGGATTGCACCACATAGATTGCACCGCACATAATGCCGCACATGGATTACACCACATAGATTGCTCCACATAGGTTGCCTAACATGGAATTGCACCACATAGATTGCACCACATAGATTGAACGACATAGAATGCACAACCTAGATGGCACACATAGCTTGCACCGCATAAATTGCACCGCAGATATTGCACCACATAGATTGCTCCGCTGTGCAATAGATTGCTAGAAACACACTGTTTGGGACCGAATCCAAACGGGATCGCAGGCCCTGTCCACGAATCGAATCGTATCGAATCGGATCGCAGGCATCGCAGGCGGCCCTGACAGGGAGCCGCCTCCAACGACCCTGGATTCAGTGCTAGCCCCCCATACTACCACAATCGCCGAATTCACGATCACCTTTCCTCGGTGGAGGCAACCGCCGATGCTTGTGTTGGCGCCAACCTCTAGGACTTCGAAGTAGGTGGGGACTGGCTCAGGAAGGGGATACAATGACAGGGTATCGGCGATACGTTTCCGACCGAGAAGCGATTGGCCCCGGACACCAGGACCGCGCGTGTCTGGGCGGGCTGGAGGGCCCTGGGCCCCGCTTGGCAACGGGCGGGCGGCTGGGTGCCACTGCCTCCTTCCCTGAGCCAGGCCGGCATCCGGCCCCCTCCCTTGTTCGGCGCCGTGGGCCTCCCCTCTTCCCCCGTGCCTCTCCCCGCACCCCCTCCTCCCGCGACGGCCCATCGTCTGTGTTCGAGGGTTGCTGAGATTGCCCGTCGCCCAAGGTGCCTCCAGCTGTTCCCTCGCTTCGTAGGGAGCGCTCTGGAGGCCGCGGGGGGGGGCTCATTTCGGTAATCCTGGGGGGCTCCTTGCGCCAGGGTCTGAGACACCTCTGGCCAGGGCTCGACCTAAGCAGTCTTTTTCGTTTTCGATGTGTTTTCGTCTTACCTCGACTGGTCTTCGCTCCACGTCTGCTGCAAGACGAGCTCGGGAAAAAGAACGGGCCACGAAACCGCCAAAATACCGTTCGGGCCGATCCCTGCCGCTGGCAACAACCGACCTGACAGGGGAGGGCGTCGAAGGGGCGCGCCTGGCGGGGTCGCGCTTTACGAGCGACTCCACCATGCCCGTCCACCTCCCAAGGCCCTGCAAAAGGGGAAATTGGTAAACGGGTCGGTAGCTAAGGATGCGCTTTCAATTGTGTTTTCCAAAAAAGGTTTTGCCGCGCACAAGTGCGAGGTAACCCCCACTCCCAGAGTTAGATAATGCATCGACGCTTTTGTCCTCCCGATCAACACGCACTAGTGCGAGGAAAACGCCCTGTGTCACCCCCTTCCCGCTTGAAGAGGGCCCTTAGCTATCGTTCCGTTCTCTAACGCCCCGCTTGCAGGGGCTTGGACCTCGCGAAGCGCCCGGTCGCCGGCCCGTAGGCGGACGGTCCCAGGTTGGTCCCAGTGAGCAGGTCCGGCATGGCGCACTTGTAGCCGGCCACGTCGTTGCCCTCGCAGGGAGGCCGCGGCCGTGCGTGGGCGGCGGCGGAGGTGTCGGCAGGTGCGGCCGCCCATGGCGGCATAGGCTTCGACCCTGATCAACCCTTTACCCTCCTCCTCCTCCTCCTCCTCCTCCTCCTCCTCCTCCTCCTCCTCCTCCTCCTCCTCCTCCTCCGCCTCCTCCTCCTCCACCTCCACCTTCTCATCCACCTCTCCTCCTCCTCCTCCTCCTCCTACTTCCTCCTCTTCCTCCTCCTCCTCCTCCTCCTCCTCCTCCTCGTCATCAGCATCATCATCATCATCATCATCATCATCATCATCATCATCAGCAGCAGCAGCATCATCATCATCATCATCATCATCATCATCATCACCACCACCACTACCACCATCATCATCAGCAGCAGCAACATCAGCATCAGCATCAGCATCAGCATCAGCATCAGCATCATCATCATCATCATCATCATCATCATCATCATCATCATCATCATCATCATTATGATCGGCATCGGCATAGTCGTCTCATCATCAGCATCATCATCAGCATCAGTATCATCATCGCCATCCTCAGCAGCATTATCATACTCATCGTCACCATCATCATCATCATCATCATCATCATCATCAGCAGCATCAGCATCATCATCATCATCATCAGCATCATCATCATCATCATCATCATCATCATCATTATCATCATTATCGTCTTCATCATCATCAGCATCATGAACACCATCCGCATAATAATCGTCAGCATAAGAAGCATCATCATCGTCATCAGATTCCTCCTTCTGATCAGCAGCAGCCGCATCATCGTCATCATCATCAGCAGCAGCATCAGCATTAATATCATCATCATAATCAGCAAGCATCATCATCATCATCATCGTCATCGTCATCGTCATCGGCATCGGCATCGTCGTCATCATCATCATCAGCGACCTCATCGTTATCATCAGCATCATCATACTCATCGTCGTCATCATCATCGTCGTCATCATCCTTATCAGCATCATGAACACCATCCACATAATCATCGCCAGCATAAGCAGCATCAGCATTAGTATCAGCATCAGCACCATCATTATTATCATCATCATCATTAGAATCCGAATCATCATCAGCAGCATCAAGATCAGCATCATCATCCTCAGCAGCATCAGCATCATCGTCAGCATCAGCATCATCATCATCAGCATCATCAACATCATCATCAGCATCATCAGCATCATCATTGTCATCCCTCCCCCTGTCTTTTCAGATTCCTATGTCGTGGTAACAGCAAAAGCATAAGCCTCACCAGCAGCAGCATCAGCGCCTTCACCATCGTCTCCTTTCTCCTCCTGACCACTGGCCCCAGTCGGAGGACGGCAGTGCTATGGCCTTACCGATCGGGTTCGGCAGTCACGACGAGCGGTAGGGCTGCAAGATCCCAGAGCGACAATGAAGGTGGCGCTGCTGGCTTGGAACACAGAACCAACTTACTGAGGGATCCGGACCAACAAAAAAACAAATCCCGAACCCAACCCAACCTGAATCCAACACGTCCATCCCAGCCAAGCTGCTGCTCCTTGTCCCTTCGACTCGGCTCATCTCCCCACTCCTCCGCCTCCTCCGCCTCCTCCTCCTCCTCCTCCTCCTCCTCCTCCTCATTCTTCTTCTCCTCCTCCTCCCCTCCGACTCCTGTTCCTCCTCCCCCCTCGCCCTCCCACTTCCCTTAGGAGACCGCCACACGGAGCTGACCGAGCTGGCCGAGCTGGCCGTGCTGGCCGACGAGCCAGCCAGCTCGTACCAGCGGGCACGGCGCGCCGCGCCCAAGGAACTCGACCAGTATAGTGCCCTCCTCCTCCTCCTCCTCCTCCTCCTCCTCCTCCTCCTCCTCCTCCTCCCTCCTCCTCACCTCCTCCTCCTCCACATCCTCCTCCTCCTCCTCCTCCTTCCTCCTCATCCTCCCCCTCCGCCTCCTCCTCGTCCTCCTCCTCCTCCTCCTCCTCTTCCTCCACATACTCCTCCTCCACCTTCTCCTCTTCCTCCTCCACATCCTCTCTCCTCCTCCTCCTCCTCCACTCCACTCCTCCTCCTCCTCCTCCTCCTCCTCCTCATCTCCATCATCATCTCATCATCCTCGTTCTCCCTATCCATCATCATCATCATCATCATCATCATCATCATCATCATCAGCAGCAGCAGCAGCATCATCATCATCATCATCATCATCATATCATCATCATCATCATCATCAGCAGCACAGCAGCAGCAGCAGCAGCATCATCCCCCTCCTCCTCCTCATCATCGCATCATCATCATCATCATCATCATCATCATCATCATCATCATCATCATCATCATCATCATCATCATCATCATATTCATCATCATCCTCATCATCATCATCATCAGCATCATCATCATCAACATCATCATCAGCATCATCATCAGCATCATCATCATCATCCTCATCGTCAGCATCATCATCAGCATCATCATCATCATCATCGTCATCATCATCATCATGATCATCAGGTTCATCATCATCACCACCATCATCATCAGCAGCGCATCATAATCATCGTCATCATCAGCATTATCATCATCATCGTCGTCATCATCATCATCCCCATCATCATCAGCAGCATCAGCATCATCATCGTCATCAGCATCCCCATCGCCTTTATCATCGTCAGCATCATCATCAGCATCAGCATCAGCATCATAATCATCATCATCAGCATCGTCATCAGCATCATCATCATCAGCATCATCATCGTGCTCATAGTCATCCTCATCATCAACACCATCATCCTCATCGGCATCATCATCATCATTACCATCATCATCATCAACACCATCATCGTCAGAGTCAGCGTCATCATCATCATCATCATCATCATCATCATCAACATCATCATCATCATCATCACCACCACCATCATCAGCAGCATCATCATCAGGAGCAGCATTAGCAGGAGCAGCATCAGCATCAGCATAGAAATCAGCATCAGCATCATCAGCGACCAAATCATCATCATGATCATCATCATCAACATGATCAGCATAATCAGCGTCAACCTCAGCAGCATCAGCATTATCAACATCACCAATCATAACCATCATCAGCATCAGCATCATCAACATCATCATCATCAGCAGCAGCATCATCAGCGTCATCATCATCATCATCATCATCAACAACATCAGCAGCATCATCGACATCATCATCATCATCATCAGCATCATCATCATCACCATGAGCATCATCATCATCATCGTCATCAGCATCAGCATCATCATTTGCATCAGCAGCATCGTCGTCGTGATCTCCACTAGAACCACCACCACCACCACCTCATCGTCAGCATCGTCAGCGTCATCATCATCATCATCATCATCATCAACATCATCAGCAGCATCATCAGCATCAGCATCATCATCATCATCATCATCCTCATCGTCAACATCATCATCAGCATCAGCATCAGCAACATCATCGTTGGCGTCTGCATCAACATCATCGTGATCATCATCAGCATCATCAGCTTCAGCATCATAATGAGCATCATCAGCATCATCATCATCGTCATCATCACCACCACCACCACCGCATCGTCTGCAACAGCATCATCAGCATCGTCACCATCATCAGCATCAGCATCGTCACCGTCATCATCATCATCAACACCAACATCATCATCATCATCATCATCATCATCATCATCATCATCATCATCATCATCATCATCATTACTTTCAGCATCATCTGCATCATCAGCATCACCATCAGCAGCATCATCGTCATCGTCATCGTCATCGTCATCGTAATCGTCGTAATCGACATCGTCGTCGTCATCATCAGCATCATCACCATTGGCATGGTCATCATCAACAGCAGTGTCAGCATCATCATCAGCAGCAGCATCATCATCAACATCAGCAGCAGCACCGTCATCATCGTCATCACCAGCATCAAAATCATCATCACCAGCAGCAGCAGCATCATCATCGTCATCATCATCAGCATCATCAGCATCATCATCATCGTCAGCATCATCATCAGCTGCATCATCATCAGCAGCAGAAGTATCGTCATCATCGTCATCGCCAGCATCATCATCATTAGCATCATCGTCATCAGCAGCAGCAGAATCAACAGCATCATCCTCATCCTGATCGATCTCATCACCAAATCCTCATCATCATCATCATCATCACCACCAGCGTTGTCATAATCATCATCAACACTATCACCATCCATCACCCATCACCAACGTCATCAGCAGCAGCAGCATCATCAGCAGCATCATAAACATCAGCATCGTTAGTCTCATCATCACCGCTGACAAAAACATTATCAGCATAAGCATCAGCATCGGAATCATCAACAACGTTCTCGTTTGGTTCTGCTTCTCTGCTTCAAAAGTCTGGAGCCATTAAAGGTCGTAGCATATGCTCATACCTTGCCTCATCATCATCCCTCTTTCTCGCATCTCCCTCCTCTGTGCATGTGGACAGCCCGAAGAAGGGACTCTTTCCAAGCACTACTCGCGGACCTCGCGAGCTCATCCGAGGCCGCTTCCTGGCCTCACCCATCGCACCGTCGATTGAATGTATCCTGAAAAACATATATGAGCGCTGGCGCCGCGAGTTGGACGGCCGTTGGCTCCAGGTGATACACGATGCAAGCCAGACCCCCCACCCACATTCACTCCCAGGCCGTTCCAGAATCGACTACACGCAAGAGTGACACTGGGTAAGAGTGACCTTTGGTGCGCGGCTCATTGGGGGCCGCGGGGGGGCCAAGCACGAGCGCGCAAGACGCTAATACCGCACAGCGCTCGTCGATCGGGTGGCCCCAGTGTCGGGGGCGCGCAAACATGGATTTGGCGCGGCACCCCCCCCTAAATGCGGCAGGTTCCGCCTCGCTCGGCGGCGGAAATCCGTGATTTCCCATGGAAACGGGACCCCTCGCTAATCTACGCCCCCTTGATCCATGTTTGCGATCGCCTGACAG